CGGTGGTCTTGGTGATAGATGTTGGGATGCCCCTGCTTTCCTGCCCTGATGACCCCATTCTCCCTGCAGTTGTCTCTGGTGATGAGCCCAGGGAGAAGATTGACCTGGTCACCTACTTTGGGAAGAGACCCCCGGGTGTGCTGCACTGCACAACCAAGTTCTGTGACTTCGGGAAGGCCACCGGGGCAGAAGAGTACGCCCAGCAGGACGTGAGTGCCCCCCAGGGACACCAGTGGAGGCGGGGAGGGGCAGGGTTCTGGAATCGGGCACTGGCGGAAGACAGGGACCAGAAACCGGACAGCAGCTTAGGAAAAATGACATCTGCTCCAGCTCACCCCTCGGGGTGGCTTCGTTACACAGGCCTCAGGCGCCCTCCGGGGAGCCCGTCCTCCAGTGCTGCCAGCCTGCGCATCCGTTCCCAGGCCTGCCCACTCTTCTGTAGATTGATGGAGAATGGTGGTTGGCAACAGGCTCCTGCTCGGCCTCTCTAAGCTTGTGTTAAGTCCCAAAGGCTAGGAGTCCCTGTGCCCAGGGAGCCTGGTGCTCTGAGGTTCCTGTCCCCAGGTCTGAGGCCTGGCCTTGCCCCAAAGTAGGGAGTATCCAGAGATAGTGAGGCCTGTTGGCTTAGGGGTACCAGAGCCTCCCCACCTCACAGCTGGCCTCCTTGCCACAGCCTCTGATCGTGACCTTGTTGCCTGGATGCACAGAGCTGCCTCTAGCCTCCTCAGGTCGCCTTTTCAGTAGAGCCTTCCCTGACCCTCCACCCATCTCCCCTGACTTCTGTCTAGGTTAATGCAGCCAGTGTCCTGCTGTCATTGAGCTCCTCCCACTCAATGGAAGCTCCCTGAAGGGGAGATTTTCTGTTTTGGTTCACCTGTGTATTCCCAGCACCTAGCAGAACTGCATGAATGGATGTGTTAACCCCCTTCCACCACCTCTGACCATTTGTTCACTTAGCAATGTGTGTTAAGCACCTTCTGTGTGCTAGATACCATTGGGACAAAGGACGGTAAGCAAAAGTGGACAAGCTTTCATGGTCAGATGACAGATGGGTTTTTTTTAAAACACAAAAGCCACTCAGACTGCGTTCTCTCCCTCTTACTCTCCCAAAGGAAGAGACGAACGATCATCAACGGCGAATGGCAGTTGCAAAAGCAACACCAAGAGACGGCTTCACACTGAGATGGGCTTTTTCAGAGAATCAGATATAACCAGATATGCAGTCAGATTTTACATCAACCAAGAGATTTTGCTCGAGGGCATTTATTTCTCACTTTGCCCTGCCCTCCAGGATATGGCCTGGCTACCAGGGTGACTTCCCAGGGGGAGCAGAGTAGTAGTGACAGTAGCACTTTTTATGTGCCTGACGCTGTTCTAAGCCCTTCACCCAGTCACTCCTTTAATTCTCACACACAGGCGGGTTTGCGTCATCCCCATTTTACAGGTAAATAAGCCAAAGTGGAGAGGTTCAATGGCTGGCGCACAGCCCTGCAGCTGTTGGGATGTTGGAAAAGTCATGACGTATTTTTTCTCTGTTTTTTGTTGCAAAAGTGCGTCATGACTTTTCCGACAACCCAATAGTAAGGGGGAACTAGGTTCTGAACTAGGAAGCCTGGCTGTACCCCTGCCTCTCGGGCACCTTTGTTTTTTCACATCAGCCCGAACAGTGTCAGTGGAAAGACCCAAACACCACACAGACTGCGTGTTGTGGATGTTTGTGGGGGACATGCCTTTGCCAAACAGCAGTGCTCAGTTGTGCTCACCTGTTAGACGCACCCCTGGCAGCTGTCCTTTCTGGAGGCCTCCCCCTCTAGCTTGGTCCTCTCCTCCTCCATCTCTGCAGGTGGTGAGGAAGTCTTACAGCAAGGCCTTCACGCTGACCATTTCTGCCCTCTTTGTGACGCCCAAGACGACAGGAGCCCAGGTGGAGCTGAGCGAGCAGGAGCTGCTGCTGTGGCCCAGTGACGTGGACAAGCTGTCTCCCTCCGACACCCTGCCCCGGGGGAGCCGCGCCCACGTCACCCTAGGCTGCGCGGATGGCGTGGATGCCGTGCAGACAGGCATTGATCTCCTGGAGATTGTGCGGCAGGAGAAGGGGGGCAGCCGAGGTGAGGAGGTGGGTGAGCTAGCCCGGGGCAAGCTCCTCTCCATGGGCCACGGGCGCTGGATGCTGAACCTGGCGAAGACGCTGAAGGTCAGGGCCATCTTCACGGGGTACTACGGGAAGGGCAAACTTGTGCCCACGCACGGCAGCCGCAGGGGGCGTGCCTTTCAGTCCTGCACCATCAACTGAGTATTCTCAACACCCCTCACGTGCCCCTCTTTAGAAGGGCAGGGGGAGGAGGGGGAAACACACCCTCTACTTGATCTTTGAAGATTTTTCTTTTTTTTTACTCAAGGTTAACCTTCCTGTAACTTTTTAAAAACTTGTAAAATAACTGTCCCTCTTTTCTGCCCCCCACCCCCTTCCCCTCTAACACTCAAGCTCTCAACACAAAGCGGGGTGGGCAGGTGCCATTCGGGAATCTGGACCAAAGCTGGTAAGGCTGGGCCGAGCTGGCCTGGAGCCGCAGCCACAACCCCGAGCCCTGCTTTCTGTTACTGGTGCCCCCAGTCCCCAGTCCAGGTCCGCTGCCCTGCCCAGAGCTGGGTAATGGGAGAGACCTCAGTACACAGGGCCATCGCCATGGCCATGGAGCACTGGTGGTGGATGTGAGGGGCAGGCTCCCTGGGCTTTGACCCCATTTCTTAATCAGTGTAGCCCCAGGAAGGCTGGAGCTGTTGACCAGGGTAGAAAAAGGGGTTTACCTCCCACCTTGGGTCCTAAGTGCCTGTCCCCTCTTTCACATTGTAGCTAGGTAACAGTTTGGTAACTAGGGAAGAAAAGAGAATAAGCAGCATCCACACCCCAGGAAGGGGATGGGGTGGCCATCTTTCCAGCGAGATGACTGCTGTGTGTGGGAGACCAAGGCCGGAGACGGTGTCTCGGTGGGGAAGCTCGACTCTTGCGGTCCGCCCAGCCCACTTCGCCTCCTTGGTGCCTCTGGAGGCCTGTGTGCCTCCTCTAAAGGGGGCCGGTGGGTACTAAGAGCCAATGGAGTGGACTCCCGGCTGTCAAGGGCTGAGCCCCACCTGATGCCTCTGGGAAGGGATTTTTAACATTGCTACGTGGGCTGTGGTTCCTGGGGTGCCCTCCACTGCCCTCTGCTCAGTAACAGGCTTGCTAATTAGGTTGTCACTAGACAAAAAAGTGCTTGGGATTTGAGTTACTATCCTGGCTTTGACCAACCTCAGCAACTTGTAAGACTGATCATGAAATAAATCGTGTTAATCCTAGCTGCGTGCAGTCTCTCTCTCTCCTGTGCCCTGCACATATTCCCTGGGGTGAGGGCTGGGTGTTAGGAGGGCTGGCTTTGTCCCACAGCTTGGGGCCATCGGTCCTGTCTCCCCGCTGCTGGCTGGGCACAGCTGTGGCGAGGTTGGGCAGCTGAACAGTGTTGGCTTTCATAAGGAGGCAGAAAGGAGAGAGGCTGGTCTTAGACGCCCATAGAAAGTGGGGGTTAGCTGGGTATGAGGGCCGCAGAGCACAGAGCCTCTCGTCCTCCATTAACTGCTGAAACAGGCCCACAGATGTGCCCAGCCCAGTCTAATCAGAAAGACTTCTCAGAGAAGCAAGACCCCAAACTCCTAGTATGAGCTTCCCAGTTCTCTAGGGAAAGCCACCCTCAGATCAGTGCTGCCTTAAATGCAAGGGAAGACCTGACATTCAGAATCTCTTCCAGCCAACAAGGGCCTGGACGGCTACATAGGGAACTTCCCAGGCCTTACTTAGTCATCACCATGGCCTTGGCACCTAAGGGGGAAGACTGGAAAGAAAAGGGCAAGGGCTCCAAAGAAGAGAAAACATGTATTTGGTCCAAAGTCTTGCCTCACCATTTCTACCACCAAAGCACAGGAGAGAAATCTGTTTCCGCCAAAGCTTCTGGTGTCTCTGCCTGGAACTCCCAATAAGATTCCTCGCCACAAACACCAAGCTTGACCTGAACAGCATGACATAAGGCATGGTTCCTTCCCCAGCAGAAAGGGGCACCCATGGAGAAGCGGGGGCGTTTGCTAAGAATGGTGTTTCCAACCGTGCGAGCTGATGTCAGGGACCAGGCCCCTGGGCCCAGGAGCTGCCTGTCCCACTTGCACAGGGTCTGGGGGGTTGACGAGGCAGGATTTCGCCTCGTCTCCATCTCCCTCAAGCCTGCATTCGCAGCAGGAACTGGGTGAGTCCATGTAAACCTCCTGTTTAGGTTAGCCTGGCCTGACCCTTAGCACCCATGCTCAGTGTGAGCTTTGGACACACACAGCTGCTTGTGATTTCTGGCGGCCCCACCCTAAACTAAGCAAGTTTTCTGAACTCAGTTCCCCCTGACACATCAGGCTGGGCCCAGCAGCATCTCGACGCTCACATGCTAAATAGGTTTGGGAGAGGCAGCCAGCACCCGACCTGCCACCAGGCTCTGGGTGCCCCCACCCCTGTGGGGCACCCTGCTGAGCCCAAAGTCCATGTCAGCATCAGTTCCATGCTGGGGGCTCATCTCTGGCCCACTGACTCTGGAGTGACATAAAGCAGCTGCCAGAGTAAAGTGCCAGAAAGGGTCAAAACATTTTATTCTCTTAATTTTTTTCTTTTTTAATAAAGTTAAACAGTAAAACAAAAATTCACAAGCTGCCTCCCTGTCCACCCCCCGCCTCCCTCCCCTCCCCGCAGTCTTCGGCGCTGGCTCCCTTTCCTTCACCCCACTCACAGACACAGGGCATCCAACTGAGAAAATGAAACTGCTCTAAGTACATGGAGACATGATGAAGGGAGGAGGTGAATTGTGTCCACATTCAAGGTTACACTGAGCAAGTCTGCATTTGCTGGGTTCCGGATGATTTCATTAGCCAAACTGAAAGAAGAAATTCCCTGGACCAGATGCTGTAAGGGAAAGAAGGGCTTGTGAGCTGACTGGGTTTTCCAGGGAAGATCACTTTGCTCTGATTATGGTAAAGTCTCCAAGGGCTGCTTCCAACTCAGAGAGAGAGACCTCTGAGGGTATCAAACAGTCTGGGCCCTGGGGTGGAAGGGAGCTCATGAGCCTGTTGGGCAGCTTCCAACACCTTCCCTCATGCAGAGAAGCCTGGGTGCCGGGCAGCTTACTTAGTGCTGCCTCCCTGGCTCCCTGGCTCTGTGGCCCGAAGGTATGCCGGGAAGCTCCCCTCCCCCATCCTCAGCAACACCTGAGGGGACAGAGGCCCTGCCAGATGGGAACTCAGCTGCCTCCACTCATGAGCCCCCCTGACTCAAAGAGCTGCCTGGGCAGGCAGTTGCTGTGTCAGCTGGTGATACGGGAACTCCCAGGAACAGCGGGCACACCCACCTTCAAAGCTGAAGCCCCCAGGGCCACCGAAGAANGGCAGGTAATTTGTGCCTGTACGTGTTCTCAGAGAACTCTTCACTCAGCTTGAATGCTGGGAAACCAGGGAATAGTGGAGCTGCAGCGACACTGGCCAGGTGTGAGCCCTGTACCTGTGAATAGCTTGAGACAAAGGCAAACTAGAGGTGGGGCTCCTGGTTAGAGCTGGTGGCTCTGCCCTGGAGAGTGACTGCCTCTTGAAGCTAAACATTAAAAACTGGAATCCTAGGGCCGGCCAAGTGGCTCAGCTCTGGGCAACAGCAGTTCGATGCCCGGCCCGAGCTGAGCTGCCCCTGAACTGCCAACAGGTGGCAGGATGGCTCAGCTAAAAAAAAAAAAAAAATTCCCCCAAAACTGGAATCCTTTTCTGCCTGGGATACAGCAGAAGTGTACCGGGCCAATAAGGCCTGCTCTGAGTGGAGGCCTCCCTCCCCTGTGGAGAGTGAGTGAGGTCCTCGCAGGGACTGGATTCTGGGAATAAACAGGAAACCTAGTTTCTCTGAAGCGAGCCACAAGGCTGGAAATTGAAATCAAGATACTCCACACCTCGTCCTGTCTACCAGCCATGTAATATCCCATTATACACCAAGACCTATTATCTCCCAGACCTCATGTAGGCTCTCATCCACCAAACAAGCCTGCAAGGTGGGCCCCTGAGTGAAATGGGGTGCCATTAAGAGTTACCCAGGTGGTTGTGGAAAAGCTGGGGTGGTCACCCTAATTGTTGTACTTGACAGTTAAGGGTCAGTCATTTATCCCCGGTCAAAAGGCTTATAAATGGGCTGGGATGTTAATTATGTTTTTCTGGCTCCTTCCATCATACCACATAGTTCCCAACCGTCTTTTTTCTTTTTACCCCACTTTTTATTACTTGTGGATTCGTCCTTATAGATGTGATGCTGGTGAATCTGATTTCCTTGGCTTATGTTGCCTACCTGTGGTTTAAAGTGCCTTCGTTTTCAAGTGTGGGGAAGAGATGTAAAAATCTACATAACCTAAAGCCAGGGAATTGAAGCACCACTTTATAGCTCTGCAGTTGCAATTAGTTTGACCAACTAATGAATAAATGAATTAGTGGACTGGTCAAGAATTTGTTTAATGTCCTTTTTTTCCCCCTCTGGGTCCCGGTGGTCTTGGTGATAGATGTTGGGATGCCCCTGCTTTCCTGCCCTGATGACCCCATTCTTCCTGCAGTTGTCTCTGGTGATGAGCCCAGGGAGAAGATTGACCTGGTCACCTACTTTGGGAAGAGACCCCCGGGTGTGCTGCACTGCACAACCAAGTTCTGTGACTTCGGGAAGGCCACCGGGGCAGAAGAGTACGCCCAGCAGGACGTGAGTGCCCCCCAGGGACACCAGTGGAGGCGGGGAGGGGCAGGGTTCTGGAATCGGGCACTGGCGGAAGACAGGGACCAGAAACCGGACAGCAGCTTAGGAAAAATGACATCTGCTCCAGCTCACCCCTCGGGGTGGCTTCGTTACACAGGCCTCAGGCGCCCTCCGGGGAGCCCGTCCTCCAGTGCTGCCAGCCTGCGCATCCGTTCCCAGGCCTGCCCACTCTTCTGTAGATTGATGGAGAATGGTGGTTGGCAACAGGCTCCTGCTCGGCCTCTCTAAGCTTGTGTT